TTAGCATATGCCACACCCCCTGACATCACCAGAAGTGTGTCATAAGGCCACACCCCCTGACATCACTGGAAGTGTGTCATAAGGCCACACACCCCGCCCCCAACGGTCCCGGCCGCCACCGCCAGCCTTGCTGCTCCACTGCCGAGCCCCATGAGGGGCCCAGCGGTGGACCTGCAAGGCCAGCAGGAGTGCAAGGAAGCCCTGGAAGGCCCTCCCTGGCCCCAGGCAGGCAGGGGTGGGGAGAGGCAGGGAGGAAGCAACTTACCCTCCCTCTTCTCCTGCCTCCTCCTGGCTGAATGAGGGCCGGAAGCAGGGCGGATGGAAGCAGGGGGCGGGGCTTTGTCATGTGCCCCGCCCCCCCACCTCACCCGGTGGAACTGCGTTCCCCTGCGTTCCCCCCCGAAATGACCTCTGGTTACAGCATCCCTAGACTGGATCTGTGGATGCCATTGCAGAGATGCATTTGGCCATTTAGAAAGGCTGTGGGGGCCCAATGGCATGGTGGGACTAGGTGAACTTGGCCCTAATGCCTTTTTAAGTGCCAATTCAGGTGAAGGACATTTTAAAATGGAATTAGCATCCACAGGCTGGACTTGTGGATGCTGTAGTTTGTGGATGCAGTAGTTTGGCCCTGTGTGGGACTGTTCTGTGCTATTATAATGCAGATTTATGGGTCACTCCACCAAATGTATAAAACTATTCATGGGGGGTTGTAAAGGAAATATGGTCACATAGGAAAGTTAGCAATTTTCATTGTTTACTGTATGTGATTTTATTGCATCACCATATCTAATGTTCAACTTGCATCCAGCTGTACTCAAGAGACTGCAGTCATGAGCAGATAAGACAGCTCTTTCTGCAAAGCCTCAGGTTTGCAGACAAATCTGATTTTTTAAAAAAGGATCAACTCAGTTACCAAATATTTAAAAAGCACCTCTACCTGTACCTTTAGGAAACGAACGCCCTCTGTGATCTCAGTGGCCATTGGGGTTGCTAGGCAATCATAATAATATATCTAGCCTTCAAAGTCTGATTTCTGTTCATAAAAGGCAAGGGGAGGGCCCTTTTCAGAGGTATTTTTACCTTCCATTCCCCTCGTTTTCCTTTCCCTGCTGTCTTCAGGCAGGCATCACTGGGGCCACACCAAGAAGCAACTAACAGGCAACTTGCTATGATGTAATTTGCACAATTCATCTAGGTGCAGCAGTAGATAGCAGAAACTAGATGCCACTCAACTCACCTGGGCCCAGTGGCTGCCTCCACACAATTTTTACTTCTTCGCTGTGCCTGGTAGTGGCCAACATATTACTTAGCTGAGTGACTTGCTATTCTATTACTTTCATAATTTCTCCAGATTTCCCCAGGGACAGGCTGGGAGTGGGGAGAGAAACTGAAAGTCATTGTAAAACGGTGTTTACAGTATGGCTAGGATCTGGTAGACCTAGTTTCAGATCCCTAATCTGCCATGCAGTTTGCCTAGTTAACCTTGCAAAAGTCAACCTTGGGTTAGTCACCCTCTCTCAGCCGACTATAACTCACACTGAAAGGGACCAGAAGCTTAAATTTCTATGGAATATCTGTGAATTTAGAGGAACTAGTAGAGTGTGGCACTGGATGGCTATAATGTCATTTCTCAATAGTAAAATAGCAATTACTGATTTTTTTAAAGCCATCAAAAAGCCTCCAGTGGCAGGCTAGGGACACATGAAGAGAAAGTGGCAGCTGATGGAAGAAAATTTGCACAAAACTCCCAGTGCTGTATGCACGGCACTGATGACAAGGAAATGGAGAAACCATGCCATGTTGATGCAGCCAGATACACAGCCAGAGGTCGTTCTCATCACGAAGCACTACATCCTTTTAAATAGAGATGGTGGAGACTGACCCTGGGACTTTACCTATGCAAAGCTGATGCTACACCACTGAGCCACATCCTGTCCTCAAGTGTAATTAACCACATGCAATGGCATTTCAGTGCAGTCTTCCTTGGCGTCATGGGTGCCCATTCTGCAGTTCTTGCCCTGTCTTGTTCTGCTTGTATTAGTAGTTCTTCTCCCAGAGATTCAGAGCAAAAAAAATTAGTCTAGAGTATGTCCTTTGTTATGTTGCAGTATGCTACCCACCACATTACCACGTGATAATGAACAAGACACAATGTCCCAGAATGGTAGGAGGTTCTTGGATTATCAGCATTCTTTGTGCATGACCGCACATTGTGGACATCATTTGCTTTTTTTGTGAGCCAAATAAGATCAGTCAATTATTCTGTGACATCTTGCAACTGCTAAAGCTTGCCTGCATCAACACATTTGGCAATGAAATGACAATCCTTGTTATGTGGCATAATTTTGGGTTAGTCTTCTGCTCTTCAATCATTGTATTCTATGTTAAGTTATTTCCACAATCTGAAGAATTCAGTTTTCACGAAGCAAGTTCAAAGCTAGTTTGCCCCAACTCATGATTTTTTTGTTTGTTGACATTAACTAGGATGTTTACATACATCAAGATCAGAGTCTTCAATCTCTGAGGAAATAATGGTAGCTCTGTTGTATTCTATGGTGTAGCCGGTAGCAAACCCAGTCATTTACAGTCTGAGCCAAAAGGACATCAGGAAAGCTCTTTTAAAGCTGATTTTTGTGTGTGTGTGTGTGTGAACAAGATACCTTTAGCAATGTGCAGGGACAAAGAGACAGGACAATATTTTCCAGTTTAAATATGATTTTATGATAGAAGCAGCGTGCATGTGTTTAGAGCATCCACAGTAACAGGGTCCTTGGATTACTCATTTGGGGGAAAGAATGTGTGAAATATTGAATTTTGTTGGTGAATAAACATTATAGCTGACCTTTTGGCCCACAAAGCTTAATATTTCATTCTGAGGATGATGAACATATTTGATGGTTGGCAGTTTAGTCTGCATTTTAAAGGATCATATTTTAATTAAAATATCTTGAATCTAACAATTAAACACGAGAAATTATTTTGCATCCCTAATTATACATTTTTATTTTAAACAATATTAAGAAAAACATATTTAAACAACAACAATACATATAAAAGTGCAGAATACATGTGGAATATTTGTAGGAGAATGTATAACAATCCTAATTATGCATTTTTAAATGATGCTGCTGGTCACAGAGCAACCTTTGACAGCTTATAATGCTCATAATAGCCACATTTTCCCCTTCTGGTTTGCATTAATATATTTGAATAGGGCTTTTTTGTAGAAAAATCCCAGCAGGAACTAATTAGCATAACAGGCCACACCCAACAGCAGAAACTCATTAGCATATTAGGTCACACCCCATGCCTTCCCTAGGCTTGCCTGGGTCCCCCGTGGCTGCAGGGTGCCCGGGCAAGCTGGCCCTTGGACAGGCCGGGGAATGCACTGGGAGGCATTTAAATGCCCCCCGATCCTTCCAGGGGTTCCTCTGGCCCACCCACCTCGGAGTCGCCGGGTGGGGGGGTCGCTCTCCATGCTTTCCCTCTGTAGCCATGCATGCAGAGGTTTTGGCTGTAGTGGGCATGGCTAACTCTGAAGCCAGCCGGAACTCTTTTCCTGTGCGTTCCTGCCCAAAAATAGCCCTGTATTTGAACCAATGTAGAATTCCCTTCCTTTCTACAGCCTCTTCTCTCCTCTTCTCCTCTCCCTCCCAACCACACTTCCTGCCACTTTGCTGCACCTGTGACACCTGGTCAAGTTGGTGTCAGTTTGTAAAGCAGGTGATCTGCCAGTCAGCTTGCCACTGGGTGGTCTGGCAGAGATAATCTCTCCCTCCCTTCCTCCATATCCTTCCTCCCACTTTTCCTGATTCTGTTTTGGAAGCCTCGGGGATGCTGGACTTCAGGATACTCTGGGAAATGTAGTCCTCAGGGTGCTTTATATTACAAAAACATACATCTTGAGGACTACACTTCCCAGGGTGAACCTAAGGGCTGAACGTAATGCTATAGCATCTGCCAGTCTGTCAGGGGGACTTGCCATCATTTAGGAGCTGAGATTCCCCAGTGGGAACAGCACTGTTAGAGCCCAATTTGGCTTGAGATCATGGTGTGGGAGAAGGAGGAGGGGTTCCTGCTTCCCCCCCCTGCTGTTTTCCCAAGCTGAAATAAAACCAGGGATGGGGTATTATTTACCCTGCTGCAGAGGCCTCATAATGTCCCTGGCACCATTTTGGCTAAGAAAACAGCATGGAGAGCCTCCCCCCATGCTGTAGACCCACACCAGGTTAAAGTCCAAAATGGTAGTGAGTCCTGTGGTGGTTCTAAGTGATAGGGAAGGAAAGAGAGATTCCTTCTGCCCATCTACCTTTCGGTTGCCTAGCTGATCAGCTAGCTACCTACATAGCTGTTGCCTCCAATCTCTGGCTGCACAGTAAACTGTGGGGGAGAACAGAAGGGAGCGAGGGGCAGTCTTTTTATCGAGTTTGAATTTGGGCTCAGAAACAAATAGGCATTTGCTAACAAATAACTCAGTTGTTGTTTTTTCCCCTGATTCCAATTATAAAGTCAGTCAAGAGGGTCAAATCCATCCCTGGTTTTCCAAACCTTAGTGAATTATCTCCTAATTGAATTATCTCCAATTTTGCTCAACAAATACTGGCTCCAATGCAATATTTCATAAACATTATCTCTGCCACAATTATGTTGGAATAAACATTATTTAAAAAAGGAGTTCTTTTCTTCATATTGCCTAACTTACCGTATCTCTTCTCCTGGCAGCCGGGAACATTATCAGTGTCAGGTCTACATGTGTCCACTGATATGGGGTGGGATTCAACCAGCTTCTGCTCTGGTGAAAATGAAAGGTGTTCACTGTGACCACCTTTTAAAAAAAATACTATGCTGGGAGTCATTGAAAAAGCCACATGGGACAGAGAAGTAGAAGTAGAGTAAGCAGTAGAATTTATTGAAACTGACTGAAAAAGCTGGCTTTCCCCCCAAAAAAAATTAGGAAATCTCCATGCTATAACATCCATGTAAAAAACAAACAAACACTATACAGTCTGCGAGAAGAGTTTCCAACCTAGAGTTCTCTTCAGGGATTCCCTCACTTCATAGTTCCTCAGAGCATAGACAATGGGATTTAGCATAGGAGTGACAACTGTGTAGAACAAAGACAGTATTTTTTTGACTTCGGGTGAATAGTTGGATTTGGGTCTTAGATAGACGAGGCTCCCACTTCCATAGAACAAAATCACCACAATGAGATGAGATGAGCAAGTTGAGAAGGCCTTGCTTCTACCCTCTACTGTAGACATTCTGAGCATGGTGGTGATGATACGGGTATAGGAGATCAGGATGAGCACAAAAGGGAACATGAGGAAAACAAGGGTGGAGGCTATGGATTGCATTTCATATTGGTGGGTGTCTGTACAGACCAGCTTCAACACTGGTGGGGCGTCACAAAAGAAATGATTGATTTTGTTATGACCACAAAAAGGAAGATTGAAGATCCAAGCTGCTTGCAGCAGTGAGACGGGGATTCCAATCACCCAGACTCCACCCATCAACTTGTAGCAGAAGGTCCTATTCATAACAGTGGCATAGCGCAGGGGGTTGCAGATGGCAACATAGCGATCATAGGACATAGCAGCTAAAAGAAAACACTCTGCACATCCAAAGTGGAAGAAGCAGTACATTTGAATGGCACAGCCGACGAAGGAGATAGTTTTGTCCTTCACCAGCAGGTTGATGAGCATTAGAGGGACTGTGTCCAAAGTGAAGCAGATCTCAATGAAAGCCAGGTTTCTCAGAAAGAAGTACATGGGAGACTGGAGGGCAGCATCCACCATGATGATGACAATAATGAGGATGTTCCCAGTCACTGTAGCAATGTACATTACCAAAACTAGAGGGAACAGAAACAACTCTATGTTTGGCATGCTGGAAAATCCAACCAGGATAAATTCCTTCACCAAACTTTGGTTTCTCCACTTCATTTCTTCGAAAGGATTTCTGTTAGAAGATGTAGTAAGAAGAAGGAGATAGAAGAGGAAATCCATTCAGAAAGTCAATATTATGTAACTCTAATAGTGAGATAGAATCCCCCCTTTCCATTCCTTTATAGTTCCATGTTTGCTGTGTTTCACATTCTACACCTTATTGTTGATGTAACTTCAACCACTGCTGTAATGTATTACTTACACTCAGGCCTCTCAGCAGTCCAGAGGGACCCAGGCCAATTCCAGCTTTTAAGACACTTAAAAAAGTGTCAACATGTGATCTGCATTAAAAACATCAGTGAAATTTAATAAATCGGCAAGTATCTAATCTGAGGCCACCTTTGAGGCCCAATGCCCCCCCCCCCCGAATGACCATGGTTAGAGTATTATGGATAGGGGCTGTGGCTCAGTGGTACAGCATCTGCTTGGTATACAGAAGGTTCCAGGTTCAATCATCGGCATCTCCAGTTAAAAGGACCAGGCAGTATGTGTTGTGAAAGACCTCTGCCTAAGACCCTGGAGAACTGCTGCCAGTCTGAGTAGACAATACTGACCTTGATGGACCAATGGTCTGATTCAGTATAAGGCATCATCATGTGTGTTCACTAGGGTACAGGGAATCTGTTCAAATCCCCACTCTTTCAGGAACCATGGCCAGTCACGATCTCTCGGCACATTTAACCTCACATACTTCTTATACTGTGAGTTCACTGGGGGAAAGATGGAATTAAAATTTTCTAGACTAAAATAAACTTAATTTCAGCACAGTTTGCCATAGTTTCTAGTGCCTCCAGTCCAGTCACACTAGTTATTCCTTATTTCTATATCATTGCTCAAATTTAAACGAATAAAATACTACCTTGATTTGGGGGTTTTGTATGATTACATCTAGATGGTTTTCACACACAAGAACAAAGATTGCCAACTCTGACTGGGGAAATTCCTGCATATTGGGGGCATTATCATGGTAGGGCAGAGGTTTTTTGGGGGGGAGAGTTTGGCAGTGGTGTGATGCCATAGTCCACCCCCCAAAGCTGTCATTTCCTCCAGAGGAAGTGATCTTTGTCATCTGGAGATCCGCTGTGTACATCAGAGAACTCCAGGCTGCACCTGGAGGCTGTTAAAACTAGAAAACATCTCCGAGGGCATTTTTAGAGTACTGTCTAAAATAATTTTTGTACAACCCTACAGTGATGTGTGAGTAGAAAGGGAAATGTACGTAGCACAACCAGAAGTGCAGTGACTGCAGCAACGCCAAGAACCTCAATATGATTTTTTAAATAAAATAACACTCAAACGGAACATTGGAATGTACAGCAGTCCACATAGTTTAATTTAATTTGATTTTGAAGTTGTACAAGAAGAAATATCCCATGCTATGTATAACAGCCAGTGGAGATACAGTGGATGGATCCAGCACAAAATCTTTAATTGCATGAGACACAAGCATCTAGGTTAAGCTAGATTTTAGTAATAGCTGCCCAACATCAGCACACACACACACACACACACACAATCCATAACTTTTGAATGTGGGTTGTAAATTAATAGGGCTGCCTACCACAGCTACTAGCATTTTGGGTAAACCTACACTGTCTTCAAACCTGACAAATGTTGCTGCTGGCCTTTAAAACTCTAGCCTGCACACAAAACAGTTCTGAGAGATGCTATGTCATATCTTCCTTCCCCTACATGCTACTCAAGCTTGGGGCTGTCCCCCTCTTCCCATCCACCTGGCCACTCAAGTCAATGATGGGATGGTTGGAGAACAACCTTTTTTCCATAGATGCCTCAAGGTGCTTGCCAGTGGTCTAGCCTATGTCATAAAAACAACCCATTGCAAAGATGACTATGCCTTAACTAGTCTAAAAACCAGGCTGAATGAAATTCTATGCCAACGCTGGCTGGAGAAAGTGAAAAATGAAGCCCACAATATTCTTACTTTATCCCATTAATGGTAACCAACTATTCCTTTGTGTAGGTGAGCCAACAAGCAGAAAGCCTGCTGAAGGGTGGGAAATACAGCTTAAATAGCTATTGCAATCCTTTGACCATCAGCTTGTCCAGCAGGAGGCATTCCGCTTTGACAATGACCTTTTTCAGCTTCATTCGAAAATTGACTACAACAAAACTATACCTTACAACTAATGATATGCCAATAAAGGTCAATGAATGAATGAATGAATGAATGAATGAATGAATGAATGAATGACTACAACAAAATGCATCCCAGTCCTGTTCACACTGGAAACTGGATCTTGAGATTTCTACAGAAAATATCACATTGCTTGTTTAGGGGCCTTGGTTGTTAACCGCCCTCACTGTAAGTGCTGGAGGTCAATAAAGTCAAATAATGATAATTCCTCCTTCTTCTAGCAGTTCCTTTGTTTAGGCAGGTGCACACAACATCCCGTGTCTTGTTGTAATTGGTCCTACACCCTGTATTAGGCTTCCTACAGATATGGACAACCTCCTCCCCCTTTCATTTTGTGGCTGTGCCTACAAAACGGCTTTGTATAAGGGAGCCTTTGAGGCTTTCCATGAGGGGACGGGAAAATCAAGAACTGCCCTATGCAGATGCCACATTGCATTTGAAGTGGTGTTATGTCTACAACATGGCCTCAGGCAGAAGCAGCTTGTGCCTTCTAATAAAAGTGGTCTATACATTTTAAAATAAATACTAAGATAAACCAATTTGGTAAGTTAGAAGTAATGAGTAGTACCAGCAAAAATATTTTCCTGCTTCAACATTTCCCTCCAAGAATACTTAAAACTCCATGTCTCCTATTCAAGGAATGCCATACCTACCTCAAACATTCAGAAGGTAACCAATGGTGATTACGTAGGCTGGGTATGCTAACTTTTTATGGTGGTGGTTGAAAAAGTAATTTCCTAGAAATTTTAAAGTGGTGAAAAGAAAAAAGAAAAGAAAAACTATTGTGATGTTTCCCAAGCATCGAACAGTTGTTGTATGCATGTCTTCCTTCCATGTAAAGTGCTATGTTTAGCTCAATGGTAGCATGACTGCTACTTTCAGGAAGAGCTTAGTAAAAGCCATGGTGAGGTAGTATGCTCTCTTTCTGATTTTTAATTAGAACTTTATCTATGGTGTTTTAAAGAACAGAGCTTTGTTGCATTAATCCCAAGTAACCCATGTACCATTAGGGAATATATTTATTCCTTAGTAGGGAAAACATCTGGGAGTTGCTGACTTCCTCCATCTGTGTTATCTCTTAACTACAATAGAGTGCTAGCATATGTATGTCCCACAATATGGTTAGAAGGCACCCAGTACAGCAGTCTCACTACACCTAAACAATTCTATGTTTGGTGAGCTCCTAGCACCAGCCTTGGGTGCCAGAGATGGACATAATCCAACCATGAGAATTTTATAGTTTCGGTGTCATGACCTAGAAAACCATATTGTAGGATGCCTCCTAATCTGTTCTCTATAAGCAAGCCCAGTCAAGTCTTCCCTGAAGCAGTGCCCGCAAGGTCTAGATAGCAGGAAGGGTTGACAGGAACTGAAGGCAAGGACCAGCAACACAACCTTATGCCTAACAGACCAGTTGACCCAGCAAAGCAGTCTTCCCAAGCCTGAGCATAAATTAGTTTGGAGGTAATCAGGTTCAGCTGGCAGGGGTTGAGCTACTGTGGCTGTGCTGAGCTTTGAGAAGGATCCTGCGAAGAAGTAGCAGTTTCACTGCATGGCTCTTGGATGGGGCTGCATGCAGCCAGTCTGGCACCATTTCTATTGGGCTGCTTCAGCCTAGCCTATCTGCTGCCCCTGTTCCTGCAGAGAAGGGATGGGGTCCAGGGGTGCTGTGGGCCCTGGTTTGATATCTCCACAATGGAAGCACAGTGGCTATCTCAGAGAGCCACTTTGGTGTAATGGTTAGGAGTACGGATTCTAATCTGGGAGAACCGGGTTCCTCCTCCTGATGCGGTGATGTCATGCAGAAGTGACATCATCATCATAATTGGGGACGTTGCATGGCAATGCTCTGCATCTTGGACAAAGCCCTATTTTTTTGGCCTAAAACCATAGAGTGTTGCCCCAAAAGCAGAGCATTGCCATGCAACGTCCTGACATGATGAGGTCACTTCTGTGTGATGTCATCACATTGTGGATGTCACTGTGCAATTTCCCTGTTTGGGGGTGAGGCTTCCCCCACCAACCAGTTGGCCAGTGGTGGGCAGAAGCCTGAAAAATCAGGGGAACCTCCACCTGGACCAGGGGTCTGGCAACCCTAACTACAACTGATCTCCGGACTACAGAGATCAGTCCTCCTGGGGGGAAATAGCTATTTGGAGGGTGGGCTCTAAGGCATTATGCCCTGCTGAGGACCCTCCCCAAATTCCTCCCTTCTCAGGCTCTACCCTCAAATATCCAGAGTTGACAGCACAATACTGGTCTAATCTCAGAAGGCAGGAGCACTTGAAACAGGGCTAATACATTGGCCTTTGGCAACCTAGGCCAGCCATAAACTGAGTGTGCCAGCCCACCCAGGCATATGTGAACTGTCTCAATCTGGGCACACCCACCTTGCTGCAACCCCAGCTATCATGGACCTGGGCAAGCTGGTGCCTGCTGGTTCTTCATCCCCACTCCCTCCCTCATGGTGGGAGGTTTGCTCAGATGACCCTAGTGGTCAGATATGTTTAGGAGCATTTCTTTCTGCTTTATGTCGCTCCAGAATATGATACAAATAGACCTAATCTCTGCACTGATTGATGGTGGAAAGTGCCATGAAGTCACAGCTGACTTATGGCGACCCTGTAGCGTTTTCAAGGCAAGAGATGTTCATAGGCGGTTTGCCATGGCTTGCCTCCATGCCATGCCCCTGGTATTCCTTGGAGGTCTCCCATTCAAATACTAGCCAGGGTCATCCCTGCTTAATTTCCGAGATCTGATGAAACTGGACTGATTAAGCCATAACTAATTATGGCAGGAATAGGGTGGGTTGCTCAGTATATGTAGGATGAATAGATGTGTA